GCATGGGATTATGGACTGAAACAAGATAGCTGGGGCAAAACCTTGGGAACATTTCTAAGCCCACGCAGGGGCCACGTGAAGATTGGTCTTACTCCCAGGCCCAGAGAAGGGTGATAATGGAGTGACTCATCAAGCCCCCATAGCAAAGCTGCAGCACTTTCCCATACAGCGCCTCCATCTGGTGGGGAGGGGAAGTGAAACAGCCGTTCCCTCTTGGCTTGGAACAGGCAAGGATCAGAAACGACACATGGCTGGCTCCTCTTTTATTTATTTATTTATTTTTTGCTTTTTAAAGATTTATTTATTTCTATTAGAAAGTCAGACTTACAGAGAGAGGAGAAACAGAGAGAACTATCTTCCATCTGCTGGGTCACTCCCCAAGTAGCTGCAAGGACCAGAGCTGAGCTGATCTGAAGCAAGGAGCCTGGAGCTTCTTCTGGGACTCCCACATGGGTGCAGGGTTCCAAGGCTTTGAGCCACTTTCCACTGCTTTCCTAGGCCACAAGCAGGAAGTAGGATGGGAAGTGTAACAGTTGGGATACGAACTGGTGCACTTATGGGATCCTGGCGTGTACAAGGCAAGGACTTTAACCACTAGGCTACCATGCTGGGCCCCTCCTGGCTCCTCTTGGGACCTGGAGCTCCACCAAGCTGTAGCTCTTGCCGTTGGAGCTGTGAAAATCCATCTGGGTAATGCAGGGGAGAGGTGAGCAAGCTCGGGCTGTGTAGCTCACAGTATGTGAGGATGGTAGTAGGTGGGGCGGGGCCTGAAGCACCACCCAGCCCCATCTGTCCCCTCCTCTTCCTCTGGGCCAACTCTCATCTTTGTCCGTTGTGCCTGTCTTCAGCACAGTGGTCTCATCTCGAAATCCAATTGAAAGACCCAAGGTTCACATCAACCATGTGCTCTTTTTCTGAATTTCTAGGAGTGCGGGAACTTGGGCGGGCTGTCAGTGCGTTCGCTGGGGCTGACGCAGCCGGTGGAGCAGGCTGGGCGGGATGATTTCTGACGAGTCTCTAAGTCACGTGGAGGGTCCCATGTGTCTCTGTGGGGTCCAGATGGCAGTGTCTCTGTGGCACAGTCCAGAAGGGACACAGGTCAGCTTCCTAGCAATGTCCTGAATGACTGGGAGGCAAAGGGTGTGGCTAGGATTTGAAAGTGTCTCTCGGCTGGGGTGGAGGAGGGGTATGTAGGGTAGTGGGTTAAGTCTCCACTTGCAGTGCCGGCATCCCAGATGATCGCTGGTTCACGTGCTGGCTGCTCCACTTCTGATCCAGCTCCCTGCTATTGTGTGTGGGACAACAGAGGAAGATGAGTCAGGTGCTTGGGCCCCTGAACCCCCCTATGGGAGACCCGGGAAGAAGCTTCTGGTGTCAGACCTGCCCAACTCCCTCCATTGTGGCCATTTGGGGAATGAATGAGAAGACAGAAGATCTCTCTCTCTCTCTCTCTCTCTCTCTGTCTCTGCCTCTTTCTCCTTCTGTAAATCTGCCTTTCAAATACAAGAATTGAAAAAAGAAATCAAGACATCTGAAAAATGGCATTGTGCTTTTAAGAAAAAAAAAGTGTCTTGGTTAGAATGGGAATGGCAGACTGAAGTCTTCTCTGGGGATAACGAGGAAAGCTGGTGGAAAAATCTAGACGCATTTCTGCTTCCTGCACCCAGCTATCTTCATGAACACGTTGATGTTAATTACACAGTGGGATCTGAAATTGTGATCAGCTATACATATGTCCACATGTTCATACATACATATATCCATACATATGTTTATATGATGTCCTAGTTGGCCATGCGAGGCAGGCAGGTGGCAGAGGAAAGCAGTGGCGTGAGCCTGGGTGTCAGACATTCTTTTTTTTTTAATTTATTTTTATTATTTTTATTGGAAAGGCAGATATACAGAGAGGAGAGACAGAGAGGAAGATCTTCCGTCCAATGATTCACTCCCCAAGTGAGCGCAACGGGCCGATGCTATGCCGATCCAAAGCCAGGAGCCTCTTCCAGGTCTCCCACGCGGGTGCAGGGTCCCAAGGCTTTGGGCCGTCCTCGATTGCTTTCCCGGGCCACAGGCAGGGAGCTGGAAGGGAAGCGGGGCTGCCGGGATTAGAACCGGCGCCCATATGGGATCCCGGGCGTGCAAGGCGAGGACCTTAACCACTGCGCCACCGCGCCGGGCCCTGTCAGACATTCTTAACTTGCGGTGATTCGCCCCACTCACACAGCGCCACTCGGGAGAAGCTGTTTACCAAATGACAGCCAGGTCCTTTAAGAGGCAAGTGACATTTAGGCATTTCTTTCTTTCTTTTTTAAAGGTTTATTCACTCATTTTTATTGGAAAGTTGGATTTTATACAGAGAACGGGAGACAAGGAAGGAAGATCCTTCGTCCGTTGGTTCACTCCCCTAGGGGCTGAAATGGCCAGAGCTAAGCTGATCAGAAGCCAGGAACCAGGAGCCTTTTCTGTGTCTCCCACGTGGGTGCAGGGTCCCAAAGCTGTGGGCTGTCCTCAGCTGCTTTCCCAGGCCACAAGCAGGGAGCTGGATGGGAAGTGGAGCAGCTGGGATAGGAACTGGCGCCCTTATGGGATCCTGGCACATGCAAACGACTTTAGCCACTAGGCTACCACGCTGGGCCCACGTTTGGCATTTCTAACAGTGAGCTGAAAATGGGAAGGACCACGGTAAATATCTCAGAATCTGTGTCGGGGGCGGAGGGAGGGGGGACTCCATCAAGCCCTGAGAGTTAGAGAAAGCCAGCACTGGGCTAGATGCGCTCCCAACTAAACCCACCATTTCAATGACTGCAACTCTGATTAGCTTAAAATGATTATTTTGCCGGCTCTGTAATTTCCTACCAGGAAACTAAGATTCCATCTAGAAGCTGTCTGCTTCTCCGCACGCAGAGCCTGGCCTTCAATTAGGAGAACTTGAAGGCAAAATCAAAAGTGAAAAAAACCACAAATGGAAGACCTAAGTGTGTGATCAGTGCGGGTGCGAATGTCAGTAAGGCTGTTATGAAGGTGGTCAGCAAATTAGATGGCAGGTTGGAGAAATTCTCTAGAAATTCTGGATGCACGAAGGAAATGACTCTAAATGAATCATTTAGAATAGAGAAATGCAGGCCGTGAAAGTGAGAACCTACCAGAGTGGGGCTTATTGAAATCCAAAACAGTAATCATTATAATACAAAAGTTCGTGGGAGGAGACATAAATAGAACTAAAACCCTGGACAGCCTGTGCCATATTCCTTGCCTGTGGTACCGATTCAATCTCCCAGCTATCTTCAGAAAAAAAAAAAAAAAATCCAAAATGCAAGACCGGAAGTCTTATTCTAGAACTCTTTAGCATGGTGAACTCTGAACGTGTGTGGCTGTTAACATTTAGATGCATCAAAAATAAAGCAGCAGATTCCATTCCTAGGTCACACGAGCCCTCTTGGGTCAATGGTGACACAGACAGGATGCTCCCATGAGCTCAGGAAGTTCTCAGTCCCTGACATGCTGCGTTTGTTGCAATTGTTACAATGCTGTTCCTTCTGCTTGGGACCCTGCTGTGATTCCAGACTCCTTACGCTGCAGCTGCGTAACTCAGTCCTGTCTCCTTAGCTGCTGACAGCAGGTGCTGAGGATCCAGGGATGACCAGCAACTGCAGGAAGACAGAATGGTGTCAGAATCAGGTGTGCTTGCTCTGAGACTGCCTAGCGCAGAGCAGCACATTCGGGCCCCGGACACGAGTCAGCAGAGAACTGCAGACACCTCCACGTCTCAGCATTTACCAGCTTTCATTTGGTTCTAAAAGTTTATGTATTTAGGAAATACCAGACAGGGAGAGTGAAAGTGAGAGAGAGAGAGATGTTACTTCCATCTTATTCACTCCCAAAATGTCTACAACAGCTGGAGCTGGGCCAGTGAGAGCCGGCAAGGGGCCAGCACTGTGGTTTATTCAGGCCCTTGGTGCAGCCATTGCATATGGACACTGATTCGAGTCCCAGCTGCTCTGATTCTGATCCAGTTCATTGCTTATGAACTGGGAAACCAGTGGTGGGTGACCTGAAGTTCTGGGGCCCCTGCATTCATGTGGGAGATAGGGAAGAAGCCCCTGGCTCCCAACTTCGGACCAGCTCAGCTCTGGCCACTGGGGCCATTTGGGGAGTGAACCATTATATAGAAGATCTCTCTTTCTCTCTGGGTCTCTCCCTCTCTATGTAACTCTAGCTTTCAACTAACATAATAGTACTTTTTCAAAAGGCAGCTGTAGGACCCGCACAGTAGTCTAGTGGCTATAAGTCCTTGCCTTGCATGCACTGGGATCCTATATGGGCGCTGGTTCATATCCCGGCTGCTCCACTTCTCTTCCAGCTCCCTGCTTGTGGCCTGGGAAAGCAATAGAGGATGGCCCAAGGCCTTGGGACCCTGCACCCGTGTGGGAGACCTGCAGGAAGTTCCTGGCTCCTGGCTTCTGATCAGCTCATCTCTGGCCTTTTCAACCACTTGGGGAGTGAATCAGTAGATGGAAGATCTTTCTATCTCTCATTCTATCCGTAAATCTTTCTAATAAAAATAAACAAATTTTAAAAAAGAAAAAAAAGGGACCAGCTAGAAACTCCATGGAGGTGGCCCACATAGGTGCAGGGACCCCACTGCTTGAGTCACCATCTGTTGCTTTCCGGGGTGTGTGTTGGTGGGATGCTGGAATCTGAGTTAGGATTGGAGCCAGGACTCCGACATCAGCCCTCTGCCACAAGAGGTGGGCATTCTAACCAGCATCTGGACTGTTGCGCCACACACCTGCCCCTTGTGCTGGCTTTCCTACTTGGGCAGCTGACTTCGCTGCTCCTGTGCTCTGCCCTCTCAGCTGCGAGGTGTGATGCAACATCACCCCCAGCCCGGCCCCAGTGGAAGGACCATCAGCACCGGGTGATGTTCCTTGGGGTCCCCGCATGGATGGGCCAGGGCCCTGAACTACCCTGTCTGATAGGCTCCCTGCTTTGTCTTCCAGTGATTTCCCTCAAGGCCTCAGAAGATTCGTCCTTGGAACCCAAGAAAGAGACCTGGGCAGTTTTTGAAGGTAAACCTTGCATGTTCCTCGCTGGTGAGAGCCAGCTCGCTTTTATATCACCGCAAGGGGGGCAGGGGAGATGGCTAGAAGGGCCCGAACTTGTCGGTTTTGCTGTAGCATCACACTCTTCTCTTGGCTTACCTTCGTCCACGTGAGAGGAAGGTGGGTCCTCATTGCTGGGAGGCCACAGATCCTGATGGAGCAGAGGATCGGGGCACCGTCTGCACAATTTCAGTGTCATTTCCTCGCGGAGTCATCCACTCCCAAACTGGGGTGAGGGAGGGTTCCTTCCAGGGATGTCAAAATGCTAACGGAGTCTACTGTGACCACATGGTCTTTCAAGTCGGAGTTTGGAGGTTTGAGATTGTGGATTTAATTAGAAATCTCAAGCGAGTGTCTCGCCTCCTGTGTTCAAAGGCCATGGAGAGTTTCAAAATCCGTGATCCCTGAGTTCTATCCCTGGAGATGCTGCCCTGGAGGAAACTTATTAATAAAACTCCTTAGGGGGATTGCAGGGAGCATCCACGCTAAGGACCAGTTGTGGTCTGGGCTCAGCAGCAGCAAGAACATTCCAGGATGCTCGTCACATATACCCATGGTTGGACCCTGCCATGGCTCCCAGGGACCCACAACTGTGGGGATGGTGTCCAGGGATGTGGGTGTTGTTAACAAGGACTCCAGGTGATGCTGTTGCTTGTTCAGGTCGGGCTTTAGGGAAGGCATCCTTGATGGATTTACTTGAAAGGCAGAATGATAAAAAGAGAGGGCGAGACAGAGGTCTTCCATCTGCTGGTTCACTGCCCCCGAGGGCCTGCAACAGCTGGGACTGGGCAGACAGAAGTCAGGAGCCACGAGCGCCACCCAGGGCTCCGATGAGGGTGACAGGGGCCTGAGGACTTGTGCTATGGCCTGTTGAATCCTAGAGACATTAGCAGGGAGCTGGATAAGTGGGGTAGCTGAGCCTTAAATCGGCACGCCCACGTGGGATGTCTACATTGTTGGCTTAAATTGCTGTCTACAACGCCTGCCCCAAAGCAGATATAATTTTAAAGACTTGTTTATTTGAGAGGCAGAATGAGACAGATAGAGAGAGTAAGAGTAACGGAGAGAGTGCGTTCCTGTTGATTGGTTTGTTCCTCAAATGCCTACAAGGGCCAACGTTAAGCCAGCCTGGCAGGGACCCACTTACTTGGCCTGGCTCCTGGGAGGCTGCACATTAGCAGGAAGCTGGACTTGGGAACAGAGCCAGGACTCAAACTCAGGCGCTTTGATGGGGATTGTAGGCAGGTGTCTTAACTGGCATCTCAACCTTGTGTGTGTCTGTTGTGTATATGTGTGTGCGTCTGTGTGTATGTATTTGTGTGTGTTTTTTTGTGTGTGTGCGCACTTAGGGACCCCAACCTAGTAAGATAACCCACAGTTCCCTCCCTTGATGTCTCGTGCAGGGAACGCCTGCCTGTGGCAGAGAGATGGAGAGCACTTTGCCCCTTTGCAGTAAAAGAGGAGAAAAAGCAGTTACAGTGTCCCTTCCTCATTGCTATTGTGTAACATCTGGGAACCCTGCCTGAGCCTCACACCTGGGGCTCAAAGGCTGTGAAAGCAGGAGCCCTCCTCCTCACCCTTTGCCTGACCCTCCTGGGGACCTGCCGGGCAGCACCCCTGAGATTCTGACCATTAAGGCAGAATCAGGGTCTCAGTGTGCTTCTGACCCACGTGGGCTGCATCATGGGCACTGAGTTCTGGGAACCCAGTGTCCCTGGAAGGGAGTGGGCAGGGCTGGGGCTTCGAGGGAGACCCTCAGGATGAAGGCAGCTCTCACCGGGAAAAGCATTGAGTCCTGTCATGCATGGCTCAGCCTTGGGGCTTCCTCACGTGTGACGTGACCGCTCCCTGTCCACGTGGGCTCCCGCCACAGCATCTCGGTGGTGTGGAATGCAGGCATGGCTGAGAAAGTCAGCCTCCCACTGGCCCGAGTCCCTCCCTGGGCTCCAGGGTCCAGCACGTGGTGTGTGCCTGGCCAAGGGAGTCAGCTCCCGCCGTGGTGAGAACACACTGCCTTCTGGCTCTGTAACTACGCATGCTCCCAGCAGCTGAGTTCTCCTTTATTCCCGTGATAGGAAAAAAGTGGCAGTGGCTGTGAGTTTTGCTTTTTTAACCTAGCTCTTGACAAAGTCTCTGGCGCACGGCCCCGGGCCTTTTGCCCTTTTGTTCCTGGCCTGGACAGCTGCAGTAAGGGCAGCAAGCCTAGTGGGTTGAGTTTGAGACTCAGCTAAGTCCTGGCTGTATGCCCAACACACACACACACACACACACACACACACACACACACACACACGGCCATTGATTGAGATGCTCTTGATGCGATGCTAGAGTGAGTTAAACTCCCATGAGGCTATCATTTAAGTATTTGGCCCTAAGCAAGACAGACTTTCAGACTACATTAAAATATGGTAGATGCAAGCACAGTAGAGCTTTTCTGTTTATTGGTTTGCTTTTTCCTTTTCTTCTCTCTCCCTCCCCTGCCACCCTCCTGCCGTCCTCACACACTATGATTTCCTGAGCTCTTGCATTTTCCCTGGAAATGTAAGAACTGATCTTGACCTTGGTGTGGGGACGCTGGGCTTCCGGGCTTCTGGAGGTACTGGGTTTGAAAAGCATTCCTGAACACCCACACTGGGCCGCCAGCAGGCAGGTGCTCCCTGCTTATCCTGGGCTTGATCACACTGTGTGGGATGATGCTGACGCAGTCCCACTGTCCCCGCATCCACCTGCCATGTGCCACCACTGCAGCCTCCCAGCTGCCATCTGCTTGAGGGAGGCATGGCCTTTCTCTGCATGGTGGCTTGTAGCTCAGTCTGCAAGTGGCCGTGGTGTCTTGGGAAGGCCAAGGGCAGAAGAGAAAGCTGTCCTTACAGAGGGGCCAGCATTGTGCCATGGGTTCAGTCTCAGCTGGTGACTTTGGCCTTCCCTATCAGAGCGTTGGTTCGAGTCCCACTCTGCTTTGGATCCAACTCCCTGCTCAGGTGCTTGGGAAAGCAGCAGAAGATGACCCATTTGCTTGGGTCTCTACCAACTGTTTAGGAGAGTGGGAGTTCCAGGCTACTGGCTGAGCCAAGTGAACAAGCAGATGAAAAAAAAAAATCTCTTTTTCTCTGTGACACTCGGCTTTTCAAATAAATAAAACAGAATCTTTGAAAAAAGGAAGACAATAAATTGTAAGGGAATGCAGAGAATCCAGCACGATTTTCACAGTTCTTGTATGGTACATTGAAAACTTATTTCAGGGGCCCCAGCGTGGTGGCCTAACAGCTAAAGTCCTTGCCTTGCACGTGCCGGGATCATATATGGGCGTCGATTCTAATCCCGGACATCCCACTTCCCATCCAGCTCCCTGCTTGTGGCCTGGGAAAGCAGTCAAGGACGGCCCTTGGGACGCTGCACCCGTATGGGAGACCCAGAGGAAGTTCCTGGCTCCTGGCTTCGGATCGGCTCATCTCTGACTGTCGTGGTCACTTGGGGAGCGACTCATCGGATGGAGGATCTTCCTCTCTGTCTCTCATCCCCTCTGTATATCTGACTTTGCAGTAAAAATAAATAAATCCTTAAATTATTTTTTCTTTTTCAGATTTGGTTAAATGCATTTGTTAAATCCAGGCCAACTTTGGCTTTGGCCTTCAGATGAATGTTGCTTGGCCTGGTCTGAGTCATAAGCTTCAGGGCCGACATTCACAGTTTAGATTTTTTTTAAGCTATTTTTATTGAAAACTCAGATTTATAGAGTGAAGGAGATATAGAGAGAAAGATCTTCCATCCACTTGCCAAGTGGCTACAATGGCTGGAGCTGAACTGATCCAAAGCCAGGAGCCAGCAACTTCTTCCGGGTCTCCCATGCTGGTGTAGCATCCCAAGACTTTGCATTATCCTTGACTGCTTTCCCAGGCCACATTAAGGAGCTGGATGGGAAGTGGAACAACCAGGACATGAACCCATATGGATCCTGGTGCATGCAAGGCAAGAACTTTAGCCACTGGGCTACCAGGCTGCCAGGCTGGGCCCTTTGATTTTTTTGTTTGTTTATTTTTTTACATGGACATTTAAAGAAGTCGAGGATAACACCACTGGACCTCATTCTGGCCCAGAGCCTTGTGACCGTGACCCTGCTTCTATGTGTGTCATGGTGTCCGTGTTTGGAAGCAGCAGACTGGTTGTTATTAAAGAAAGAATGAGGATTTAATTATTTATCTGGAAAGTAAAGTTACAGAGGGAGTAGAGGAATCCGGGTAGAGACCATCTGCTGCTTCATTCCCCACATGGCTCCAATGGTAAGGGATGGGCCAGGTGGAATCGCATAGCCTGTAGCTCCATCTGGGGCCAAGCACTTGGACCATCCTTGCTGCTTCCCCAGGCACATTAGCAGCGAGCTGGATGGGAAGTGCAGCAGCCAGGATTGGAACTGGCACCCATGAGTTGTGCACTCCATAGATGGTGCCTTAATGTGTTCTGCCACAGCATTACCCCCACCTGGTTGACTTCCGGTAGCGTGGAACAGAAGGGGGAAAAAAAAATCAAAATGTCATGTATAGCTTCCTGGCCAGCAGAGAGAGACTGAGTTGTTTGTGAGCCTTTCTCATGCAAGGACACTGGTGCCTGTTGGCTGCCTGGCTCCATGGTCTGCATGCTTGGCTGGGCAGTCAGGCCTGTGGGACCTGCCAGATGTTTAAGGAATCTGCAGCCACAGCTGTCCTGGGAGCGCTCCCCTTGTACCACTTTGAGGAGGCTGCAAAACCATCACTGGGACTTCTGGGTGTACCTTCGCTTCCCACCAGGGCAGTGTGGGCCCTTGATGCCCACTGCCTGCTGCTGTGGGTGCCTCTGGCCATTGTCACCTGCTACCCCATGCCTCCCTGGTGCTGTGGGTCCAGACCAAGGACAGAGAGTAGAAGGAAAGGTGAGCCATGGACCAGGCTGCTCTGTCTGCCTCCAGGGTCAGAGACTCTAAGGAGGCTTTG